CCAGGAACCTCCTCTTGGCTTGTTCCACATGAGGGGGACGCTGCCATCAGGGAAGGGAGGCCGCCCATGTACTGAGCGTAGGGCCCTGCTGTGTCCCAGACAGGACCGCCCCCCCAGGCCTCCATTAGGCTGGCCCATCTGTCCTGCCAGGTCCTCTGGGGCCGGTGGGGGGCACCCTTCCTAGCTGCCTGTGCTTCATTCCACCCCAGCGTCCCGACGCCTCACAAACATGGGGGCCGCATGCACACGCGTCCTGCTGCAGGTGTGCAGCAGTGCCCCGGAGAGTCCCCAGGTCCCGTGAAGTCCTTGCTGCTGCTACGGCGTGCTCCACACGCATGTTCCCTCCTCATGGGTCCTGGAGGCCTCTAGGCCACCTCTGGCCCCGGGATTGGTGAGAATGAATATTCAAGTGCTGGCAGCGGTGACCCACTTATCAGCAGAGGCCACGGCCCCGGGGCGCAGCGTGGAAGCTGACAGAACAGAGGAGGACCGCGCAGGGGAGGGAGGCGTCCTTGGGAGACGCCTTCAATTCCAACGCCCTCTGAGTGGGTGAGGGGTCTGCTTCCCTCTCTCGGAGCCGAGCGAGGAGCTGCAGGGCAGACAGCAAATCGATGAGGCAGACACAGGTCACCGCACAGACACTCTCCTCAGGCGGCAGCGTCCCAACCCCCTGCCGACGCAGCTCCGAGGGCGGAGGGACAGTGAGGCCCGCCCCCTCCTCCCCGGGCCTGGCAGCAGGGCTGCCCTGCCGCTGGGCAAGCCTGTGGCACCAGGACTAGAGGCCGACGAGCTGGCTGCTGTCCCTGCCTCAGCTCCCTGACCCTGGGGAGTCACAGCCTCCAATTCCCAGTCTTCTCTGCTGTGCAGTGGGAAGATGCCACGGACGGCACCACGCGGCCCGGAACAGAAGTGGGAACAGTTGGCACCGTGTCCGGTCAGTGGAAGACAAACCACAGCAGGAGCAGCCACGGCTCCGCACACCACCGCCCCAGGGGCGCATCGCTCCCTGCTCCACCCTCAAAGGGAGGTGTGCCCCTCCCACAGGGCTGTTTTAAGAAGAAGCTGCTGGTTTCAAAAAGAAGACTGCACACTGTTTTAAGTGTCACAGACAGCAGCCAAGTGTTGGTGTGTAAGACGGAGCCAAGGTGGGGTCAGAGGACACACCTCCCGGCAGAGAAAGACAATCCGGGCCCTCGGGAAGGCCCGGGAGGACCCTTCTGACGCCTTAACCCCGGTTCTCAGACTTCCTACTGCTCTAGGAAGAGGGAGAGTCCAGCAGACAGAACCGCCTCGAGGCCCCCAAGGCACACCCCGTTTATTCAAGGGGTGTCTGGAGGGAGTCTGGGGGGAACCCCTCTGTCCAGCAGAGGATGGCAGGTCATCTGCTGGGCACTTAGCGGCCACGTCTCTCTCCCCGGCCACCTGTGCCCTGGAGGTGGATCTCACAGCTCCTGCACCCAAGGCAGGAGGACAAGCCAGGGTGACCCTATCCTGCTCCCAGGCAGCCCACGAGGGGCCGCCTGCTCAACGCAGCCGGTTTGCGGCCCGGTCTCCAGCCAGGATGAGCTCCCTTCTGCCATCTGCGCTCCCGGCTCTGCTCAGCCAGGACCTGCTGGGCTGCCGGCGACCCAGCAGCATGTGCCCGCCTGTAAGTGGCACATGCCACTCCTGCGAATGGTGAGGAGCCTTCAGCACTTGGGGAGTCCCACTGTACCCCCAGGGCTTGCCTCTGACCCTCCCCAGCACGAGGCAGGGACAGGGCCCAGGCCCCGGGGGAAGGAAGGTGAGTGACAAGCCGGGAAGCACCGCAAGGGTGAGGAAGTGCGGCAAGAGCGCCTGGCCATGTCCTGGACTCCAGGGGACTGTGACGCATGTCCTACTTCCCGGGTACTGGAGACAGTCCGACTCCAGAAGGGACTGATTCACACACAGCCCTGTCACTTCCCCAGTGGTCCCTGCCGTGTGAAGAAGAAAGAAATGCTGAAGTCTGGCTTTATCTCCAACCAGAGCTGGAGAAGCTCTGCGGAAAGAACCCGGAGCCTGCCGCAGCCCAGAGGCACGGTTACGGACCGGAAGGGCTGGGGCAGCACACACTCTCCCGCTTGGTCCTTCCAAGGAGCAGGAGGGGCAGTGGAGGGTCCTGGGAATTCGAGACCTGCCGAAAGCAGGTTCCTGAAAGCAGGTCCCCGGGTCGATTCTCATGGGTCCTCGTAACAGGGCCCAGGTCATTGCTGGCCCCCGTTGCGGCCACTTGCGGGGACGCCCTTGACGGCTCATGTAACTCACAAGGTCCCCCCACCTCACAGCACCCTGTAATGTGGCCACTCGGAGGACGGAGGGGGAGAAACTGACTCATCTCAGCTGCGCAGCAACTGCAGGATGTGGGCGGAGGTCGCAGGGGGCGGGAGGAGCGGAGGAGTTTTCCATTTGTTAAGGTCAAGGGCTCTCAGAGAGGCCCCTGGGCGCTGCTGGTAGAGAAAGCTCCCTTCCTGCAAGTCACCCTGATGCTGCTGACAGACCAGCCCCTGGGCAGAGCTAAGGTCCCACATGTTCTCACTCTGTGCGTGCACCTCGGCGCTCCCAGGAAGACACAGAGGAGACTGTTTCCAGAGGACGTTCTGAAAATTGAGCCACAAAATAAAAGCCTGTATTTCCACCCCCCAGAACACACTGCCCCAGAATAGCAACGAAGAAGTGGTCCCTAGGAGGCCCTTTCAAACACGCAGCCCCAGATGGGGGCACCCTCTCCCCAGGACGGCGAGGTGACCAGCCGGGGTCGGAAGGGTGCTTCACCTCTGCTCGCTGCCAGGCCGGACCCTCGGGTGAGGTCCAGCTGGCAGCAAGATGAGAGCGAGCTGGTGGAAAGGGGCACAGGGGACTCGGAAGGGCAGGGCGACCTTCTGAACATGCACGACTCGGCGAGGGCAGGGAGAAATGACAACCCCCATGGCTTGGGAAGACGCGACCGTCTACGGCAACAGCGAGCCCAGGACGCAGGAAGGGAACCCGCGCCTCCTCACCCCTGCTCCTCACGCTTTGCCCCTCGACCTTGCAGAAAGGGACAAAGAGTGCCCAGCGTTTAGGGTCAGGAGACACTGTCCCGCAGAAGCCAGGGACCCCGGGAGACACGTCCAAAGTTGTAAAGCAACTTCAGAGTCAGAGGCGAGGTCCACCTTCCTGGAATTTCTCCAAACAAGGCAAAGGAGCACATCCGAACCAAGAACCTTCCTAGCAAACCAAGGCCCCCCTGACCCCCCCCCCCCGGCACTGGGCTGGGGGTGGGGAGGGAGGGTAGCGAGAAGCCAGAGAGCACAGGCTGTTTTCGTCTGCCCTTTGCTTCCTGTTGCTGCGGCTTTGGCAGGCCTGGCGGCAATTAGCTTCATAAGTTATAAGTACAACATCTGGGCGACGGAGGCAGTGATTAATGCCGGTCTGCTTTCCTGAAGGACTGCTCTGCTCTGGAGAGTTACTGAGATTTGGGGAGTGAGGCTTCCATCACGTGGAAAGTTTATAGGACTAGGTGAAGGAGTGATTTAATAAGGCAGTAATAAGGCTTCTAAATAATTCACTTGGCCAATGGCAGCTGCCCATGTTCCCAGGGCTCCCTCTGTCCCTGCTGGTGGGAGGCGGAGTGTGACAGGCAGACAGACTGCACCGACTCTAGTGGCCTGCCCGGGCGAGACCCACCCGAGGGGCTCTGCCGCCGTCCCTCTGCCCTGGACCCGCTCCCCTGCCCCGTCCGCGCCCGGCCTCTCGGGCCTGTCCTCCACCCTCTCCCACCTGTGCCAGCCAGAGACCCTGGTGGGGAGTTACACTCACCAGCGCTTCTGCCAGTTTTATCAATCACGGCCTGTTGAAGTGCTAAGAGACTAACAGGCCTGGGCTCTCCTGGCTGCCCTGCCGAGTTACTCTGCTCACCCCCACAGTGGGCAGGGGGCCAGAAAGTCCACTTGTTTCCAAATTACCCAGGGCCTGTGGAGGGGGAGCTTGGACACAGCTCTGCTCCCAGACTGCTCTCAGCCAGAGCCGCCCATGTGAGTGCAGCCGCAGGGACACCCGCCTGCTGTGGAAGTGCCAGGCAGGAAGCAGCGGTCTCTTGTGGATCGGGCCACGGGCTCCTCCGGCAGGCCCATGGGTGGGGTGGGGAGGCCGAAGCAATCGCTCGGCAGCCGTGGGGGCTAACTAGTTCAGACCAACCACCACCGCTGGGGGGGGCCTGTGGACTCCGCTGCCAGGACAGGCATAGTTAAGAGGCCAACTCACGGAAAGGCTTAGCTGCCTCCCGCCTCCAAATCAGCTAAGTGGCCACGTGTCAAACTGCGTGTCACCCGGCACACCTACATTTGTGTCAGGGCTGAGAAGGACCAAGAGGAAGCAGAATATTAATAGACACTGCAAAAGGGAAAGAGAAACATTGCTGAGTCCCGCCCGCGGAGCAGGCAGAGATGAATGACTGTCTGGTTTTGTATCTTATTGCTTCTTCTCCCCTCCGCCCCCGCCCCAGGCACAAAGCAATCAAGAAGGAGCCTGGAGATTCATCATCCTCCGTCCCTGGCGGGGAGCAGGGAAGACGGGGAGGGCCCAGGCTGGCCCTTGCCAGCGTGGAGAGCCTGTGTACGGTCGGGGGCGGCTGTGGTGGGGCTCAGTCCTGTCTGTCCACTCAGGAAACCTGATGCTCACCCACGCGCTCCTGGGCTGGCCAGGAGGGAGGGCGAACACAGAACATCTCCGAAAGTCAGCTTGGCACTCTTGCAGAGCTTTGCTACAAGTGCCCCAAAATCCAAGTGAGGTTTATAAGAGCTCACCGCCCAGGAGCTGGCAGAGACCCGAATGGCGATTCCAAACCACGTGTGACTGAGGCCCGGGTGCCAGGACCCTCTGGGCTACAGTCTTGGTGACCCAGCCCGTTTGGTGCCCAGGACCAGAGCCCCGGCCGTCAGCCAGAGCGGGAGCCACGCGGACCTTTCCCTGGGGGCTCTAGCAGAGGCCAGGCCGCTTACCAGGTAGATGCGGTAGGCGTCCACCCGGCGCAGGGGCCCCCAGCACTGGTCCGTGTCGTTGTGCTTGGCATCGGCCTCCACGCCGCAGGAGTCGTTGCCAGCGGCGCTGCTGATAAAAAGAGCAGGGGTCAGAGGGCCTCCCCGAGTGGCTGGAAGCACACGGGACGCAACGCTGCTGATTATTCGCAACCACGGAACCTCCGCTCCCCTCCAGCTGCTCTCGGTCCAATAATCGGACTGTCCCTGGACCCCAGCTTCCTGTCCTCGGGGCAGGCATCTATCACTTGTTCCTGTCACACCTCCACCAGCCCCCGTGGGGCTCCCTGTCACCTTCCCAATGGGGCGGGGTAGGGGACAGTGGTGTGGAGTGTCTCTGAAGGACAGAGTGCACAGCCGGCTGTGGTCGTGCAGAGGGGACCTCGGGCACCCGCATTCCTCGGGTGCGGATGGATTCCCTTGGCGTCCTGCTTCTACCCCCAAAACTCTGCCCTGACTGCCCGAGGAAGCCCAGGTGGCTGCACAAGAGCGGGGGACGAGGGGACACTCACCAGGACACCTGCATGAGGGAGAAGGGCACGGCCGCGGCGTAGATGGCCAGGTCCCCGTACAGGTAAATGATGATGCAGAAGTAGAACAGGTTGACCCCCACTGAAAGGAACGGGGTCGTCAGTCGGGGGGCCACCCAGGGGTGTCTGTGTTCTTTTGTGAGGGCTCCCTTTCCCCACTTCCAGGGCCTTTGGTTCTCCAGGCTGCGTATTTTACCCAAAAAGATTGAGGAAAAGACCCCACAGTCCTATTTCTTGTTCTGGCTATACTGTAATGCTGGCGGGAGACCCATTTGCCCATGACCTTCACCTGAGAGGCCACTAAGTGAGGCCTGGAGGGTTGGAGAGGTTCTGAATCCAGACAGGTACCAGGTGAGTGTGAGGTGTGGACTGGCTGGGGAGGAACCAGAGGTGCCTTCGGGCTCGGGATGGGAGCCTGGGGAAGGGGGCGGAGGCGAGGGGAGAGGTCCCAGCCAGGAGCCTCGGCCAGGGCCCCTTCACAGCCACACACAGGACCCAGGATAAAAGACTGCTACCGAGGAACCGGAAAGCAAAGAGGAGGCAACAGGAGATGGCCCAGCTTCTGAAGCTGAAATCAAGAGGGTAAAAGCCCTAGATTTCCAAAGACCAAATAAAAGCCAAGCCCCGGGGGTGGGGGTGGGGTGGGGGGTGGCAAGGCAGAGGGAGGGGCAGGCGCAGAGCCCAAGGAGGGCTCACTCTCCTTCTGGAAGCATTTGCGCGGGAGGAGGCTCGCTCTGCGGAGGCCAACCCTGGTGCCCTCTGCTGCCAGGAGGGGCCTGAACTAAAAGTGGGGAGTGCAGGTGCTGCTCCTGGTCCCCTTTCCCTCGCTGCCCGGCCCCCATGACCGCCCTGGTCCGGGACAGTGGGGGTTCCACCTGTGCTAAGTGCCCTGTGTGACTCCAGCCACAAAGACTCTGAAAACTGTGTCTGGGCCCCGCAACCTCAGGGTCACACCCCGACAGCCGGTCTCCAACTCCGGTCCAGACTGACCGCTCATTTTGATGTCACTGGTCTCAAGCTGCTGGCTTGGCTGGACACAGAAAGCAAAATGAAGTGACAGTTCCCTTCTAGTGCTGGTGGCTTGGAAAGGCCTCTAGGGTCCCCACAGGAAAGCCAAGGACATGTTTCAACGGGGCTACGTGAGGTCAGCTCTGCCCCCAGGAGTCTAAGGAGAAAAAGACCAGGAAAAAACGGTTCTTGAAAGAACCCAGAATGGCCTCAGATAGGCTCGCTGTCCAAGCTCGGTGGCCCCTGGGGTCTGCCTGCCGCTCACTCCCAGGCTCCAGGTACAGCCTGTGCCCCCACTTGTCTTTCTGCTGTGACAGCAGTGCCCTCTACAAGGCGTCCCTGTCCCTTCCCCAACCTTTCCTCTACCTGCCCACGGGGTCCAGTGTCAGCTCTGCCTATGAACTGCCACTGGGCCGCCCTGATCAATGAATTTCATTACTAGACATGAAACAGGAGGATCAATGAACTTCCTGAGAGGACCACAAGGAGCAGGCCTGGCATTTCTAGTTACAGGAAATGAGTCTGGACGCTAAGGGAGTCCAGGGGTGCTGCCGTCCCCTCTGTGGCGGGGGCGGCCCTCCCAAAGGTGACGGCAGCAGTCTGTAGATTAGGGACCGGGCGGAGCAGGGGGTTCTCAACTGGGGGCAATGCTGTCCCACGGCCCCAATGGGGGACGTTTGGCGATGTCTGAGGACACTTTTGGTTGTCATAACTGGGAGGTGCTGCTGGCAACTAGTGTGTTGAGGGCAAAGATACTACTCAGCATCCAACAACACACAGGATGGGCCCCACGACCAAGAGTGGCCCGGCCTGAACGGCAGGAGTGCGGAGCCCGAGAAACCCCGAGAAGACGGCTCCCGCGGAGTGGGCGGCTGTTCTCACTGGCGTGCCTTTTTACTTTTCTCTTACTTTAAAAAAAATATTTATTTATTTATTTTTAGAGAGAGAGAGAGGAAGGGAGGGAGAAAGAGATGGAGAGAAATATCCATCAGTTGCCTCTTACCCTCCTCCTACTAGAGATCTGGCCCACAACCCAGGCACGTGCCCTCACTGGGAATCTAACTGGCGAGCCTTTCAGTTTGCAGGTTGGCACTCAATCCACTGAACCAGACCAGCCAGCGCTATTTTCTATTCAATTTAGGACAACAGGAGCCTAGTCCACGGGGGAGGGAAGACAAAACGAACCCCCAAGTTCCTTGAATTCTTAAAAAGAAATCAGGACAGACTGTAAAACGTGAAAATCAGAAAGGACATTTAGAAGGTGCATTTTGTTTCAAAAGCTTGCAAGAGGAAGGAGAGTGCGTACAGCTCCTGGGAAGAAATGTTTACGCTCTCTTCTCTTAGCCTCGTAAGCCTGGGAGAGGCGGAGATGGAATGAACCAAAGACACAGAAAAGGGCCGACACAACCAGTCTGGTTTTCACAGACTCCGGAAACCCTCCGTGAGGCTGGCACGGGGACGGAGGCAGACCCTGGGCCACCTGTGGCCGATGATCACAACCTTTCAGACCAGACAGTCAAACACACCCCTGACGAAAGCAGAACGCTTCATATCCTACAGAGCAGCCAAGCAGCCTCTAATTTCCACAACCCCACCCAGCTCTCAGGCAGCACAGCCACGTTCGAGACAGAGAAGAACCGGTGGGCGTGTGTCCCCCTGCAACAGGGACTGGGACACGGGCGCAGGAAAATCTTCCAGGGTCACTGCAAAGGCAGGGATTTCTTAGGATGTGTCTGACTCTAGAAAGGAAAAACAGGCTTGGCCATTAAAAAGCCAAACTCTTGAACAGCTCCTCTTCCCAAAGAACGAGATTTACCACAGCGGTATAAGATGTTACTGCCCCAACACCCAACAGCCCAGCACCTGAGCTGGGCTGGATCCTTTCAGCTTGCAGCCAAGCCCCCCAGGGCGCAGAGCGAGTGTGAGGAGAGGTGGGGAGACGCTCAGATTCCAGGCAGCAGACCTGTGCTCGGGCTCCCAGCGCCCTCTGCTGGCCACGAGGAAGAGCCGGACAGAAACGCAAACACAAACACACGTGCAGCAGAGCCCAGCAGGCCACAAGGCAGCCAGGGGCTCTGTCGCCCCACGCACAGGAGTCCAGAAGAATAGAGCCGAGTGGGACGCAGCCGAGCGAGAGGCACAAAATGACCAGCCAGCCCCATGGGTTCCCTCCCCCGAAAATCTGCTTAGGACTCCTGCCCTCCACGTTCCGTAGGAGACAGGCGGCCTCCTCCTCACTCCTAATGCTGAGAGGAGGGGGAATCCAAGAGTCCACCAGGTGTGGTGGTGAAGCCCCTCTGGTGCCCCCGAGCGGGAGCAGGTCGGCAATCTGCTGCTCCCACCGCCTGCCCTTCCCCATCGTCAAGCAGCCCCGGTTCCAAGTGCCGGGTCCGCAGGAAGGGCCGGCCCTCCCCACGCCCTCGCCCCACCTGGGAAGGAGCCTGTACCTTTGTTGAAGAACATGGAGGCCATCTGTCCCATCTCCACCCGGTCTGTGATTTCAAAAAGGTTCGGAGACCCGCGTCTCTCTGTGGGGCCAGAGGACAAGGAAGAGGCGGTGGTTGGTTCTGGGGAGGCCGCTGAGCTGTCTGAACCCTCCAGAATAAGGAAAGCCCCAAGGGCTTCAAGCTCAGGAGGAGACGTTTCCTAACGCTTCCTCTCTGATGCGTCTGAAGACCCGCTGCCTGCAGGGTGCTCAGCCCAGGCTGGGCCAGGGCAGGGATGGGACTGCAGGCAGGTGTGGGTGCGAGTGTGAGAGAGAGTGTGTGAGTGTGTGAGTGTGAGTGTGTATGTGTGTGGTGGGATGGGAGGAGGGACAGAAGCCAGAGACCCCTTTTGTACTACCAGCTTCCAGTGTGCGCCAGGCCCCTGACCAGGCGTTCGCTGCCTTCCAGAACAGCAGGACGGGTGAAGCTGGGGAGCCCAGGTCAGCAGGTTTTCAGGGGCTGCCAGTGTGAGTTGGTGCCGGAGCTGGGGGTGGGGCAGGGGCCGGGGAAGCCTGCGCCCCGGCTCCTGAGCCCGGCTCTTCTTACTCTACCTCGGTGCCTGCCCAGGAACCCCCTGCCGCCCTCTGCAGAGACCCCCCCATCCCTGTCCACATGGAAAGGGGCCCTGTGGACCACAGGGGAGTGCGGGCCAGCCAGAATCCTGCCACTTACGCACGGACAGGATGGGCCGCGTCTCCGCCCGCTCGTAGCTGTCCTGGGCCAGACCGTCACTGTCCGAGGCTGTGGAGGAGCTGTCGTCCCCCTCTTCCTCCTAGGAGGGGTGGGCGGGGTGGGTGGGAAGGACGAGGCCCAGCGAGGAGAAAGAGCAGGTTACTACGGAAAAGCCCGCGACAAGGAGAACCTGTTTCCTTCCTTCCCTCTTTCTAGCAGGGGTCTGATTCGGAAGCTCTCAACACCCCCTCAGGAGGAGGCGCAGACACCCCCGGTTCCTGGGTACCAAAGTTAGGAAGACAGAGCTGGCTCAGGGTGGGGGGTGGCAGGGACCCGTGATGCGAATGTCAAGGGGCAGAAGCCGCGTGTGCTCTGTAAGCTTAGGTGGCTGTTGAGCGTCTGCTCTGGGAGAGGGTCCCTAGCAGCGCTATGGACACAGGTCCCTGTGCACTGGGTGGGAAAGGACTGGCCGCCTAGGGCTGCCTCTTTGGTGCACAGGTGGACAGGGGCCCTGCCTGGGGACAAGGGCCGTGCACACACCTGGTGGTTTTCCATCCTCTTCCAGCGGAGTTGCGCGTTGGCTGCGGCCATGGCCTCCACCACGAAGGTAGTCGTCACAAAGCTGCAGGGGAGGCCACCAGCGTTGATTGCAAAGGCAGGCAGGAAGGTGGGAGGAGGCACAAAGGAGAAGGAAAAGCCATTTGAAGGCCTGACCGGACCCACAAGCGGAGCCCTGCCTCCTCCGAGAGCGGCTTCCCAGGCCCCTCTCGCCGCGGGTCTAACTGGATTTAGAAAAAGGTGTGCCTGCATATGCCGGGCTCGTAGGCTTGCCTCGATGTCCCAGTCTCCAATTAGAATGTACATCGGACACACAGGACAGAGGTGACAGGCCTGTCGGGGCAGCGGTGGGGGGACAGACCCCACCTGGCGCTCCGGTTGGGAAGAGGAGGCTGGTTCACAAGGGGCCTCCCAAGGGGCCGGGAAGGGCGGCACCTCCTCTCCTTGCTGGGACACAGACACGATCTGGTCCCAATGACATACACTCACAGACGGAGCACGGGCCAGGAGGACGGGAAAGGGACAGCTGGCTCCGGAACCTGTCCCCCACCCCCTCTTTTGGGCAGTATTTTTGCTCTCCCAATAAGCTGGCTAACACTAACATAAACTTGCATTTTATGACCCAAATCAAAGGGAGCTTGGGAGGCGGGCCCAGACGTTTGCTGAGAAGTCAGACTGGAGTGACAAATCACCCTTGCTTGTCCTCGTAAGGAAACTGGAGACCGAGACGACAGCTGGAACTCGCCAACGCCTTTGTCAGCAGAAGGTAAAGGGGGCGGGCTGCCTCCCGCTCAGAGAACCTGAGGACCGGCCGCTCTGGCCGGGCGGCCCGGGGCAGGGCACTCCTTCCCCTCCTGCCTAAGGCCACACGGCTCTGCGGTGGGACGGGACCCTGAGCCCTCAGAGCCCGGTCCCCTGCCCTAGGTAGACTGCTCGGCCCAGCAGCCAGGTGGCAGGTGCAGCCCTGAAATTCCCCCCACCCTGTCTCCCCAGCCTGTCCCAGGAACGTTTCTCATTATCTTGCCTAACTGACCATTTTAAGGGCTTTAGATTTTCCCCTCTTTTTGGAAGTAAACGAAGATCAATCCTAATTAAGGCATAAAGAGGCCCAGCACACAAAGCCGCCTCATCGATCACGTTCAAACAGGCGGGCTGCGCCGGGCGGGGGCATGGTGGCCCTGGCCCGGCCTGGTAATCACTCCCCATTCAGGCGGCCAGCAGGCTGCCGCTGCTGAAGGTCCTTTAAAGGGGACAGCAGGGTCACACAAGGACAAGGACTTTTGGGGCTCCTGCCTGCAAGGCTCGCAGTACACAGTTACGAGCCGACAGTACTCCAAGGCTGGCCCCAAACACCCAGAAGAGAAAGCGTGAAAAGACTGAGAAACGAGGGCCCTTCCCCCGCCCCCCCGCCAGGCTCCTTGAGGGTCTCACTCCGCTTCCACCGCCAAACTCCTTCTTCTGGCAGCTCCGCCCCTTTCTCCTTCCAATCTGCTTAAGTGCTGCCCCTGTGACCAGTGACCGCCTTCCAGCTGCCCCACCCCACCCTCCCAACCCCTCAGCCCCGCTGCACTCTGGGTTTGACCCCTGTTGCTCACCACCTTCAAACTTCCTCTGCCATTGATGTATTTATGGCGTTACCCCCCACTGCCTGTCTCCCAACGAAGAAGGGAGAATCTGCAGGCAGGGCTCTTTGCCATGCTCAGTGGGACGGCCCGGGCCTCAGCCGCTGCCTGGGGCCGCCTCTCCGAAGGGAGGGCCCCACGGGCATGTTTCCCAGGGCTGCCGCCCACCTCCTTTCCAGGTGGGTTCCCACCTGGTCAAGGGGTCTGGAAATGCTCAGTCTGAAATCCATCATTAGCCTGGGGCACTGGCTAAACGGACCACGGCCCTGCCTGTGGAATGCCCGAGAAGAGCCTCGGGGGGATCCCGCACCCCTGGCTGGCGGAGCAGGGCCCTGGCAGGTGGCTGGGTGCAGCCGGGCACAGAGCTGGTGAGAGCAGCCCGGCCTGCGGGCACGTCGTATGTTCACCCCTTACTCTGTGGCCACCCGAAGCAAATTCTGAATTCCAAACTGACCTCCCCGGGCACCTTCAACAACTGCCAGGTTCTGCTTCTGAGGCTAGGCGGTATTTCCTCAAAAATATACACCAGGGAGGGACGCCACCCGGGGAAAAAACGCAGACCACCACGTGAAACGTTCCAAAGCCCAAGTGCCCCACTCAGCTTTTAATGGATCAGGGCTGCACCACGGCTCCATCGTAAGACCCCAGGCCCTCCGCCACTCCTGTCCTCTCTCTGGGCCCTGCTGTGGAGGACTCACCACGGACAGCTTCCTGCCCCTAGCCTCCAGCCCCGTGTGACAGCCGCTTACCTCATGAAGCCCAGGAACACCAGCAGGACCAGGCTGACAAGCCACCCGGCAGAGGCGAAGGCCTTGGGCATGGTGAGCGCGCCGGTACCCACGATGAGGTTAAACATGTACACCAGTCCAACCTGGAACCGACGGAGGCGACACTAAGCCCCGAAGTTCATTAACTCTCCCCGCCGCAGCTCCCACGGGTGACGGCAGAACCGTGGAGGCCACAGGAGCAGACCTCAGTCACGGAAGCAGGTGAGGAGGGAGCATCCCACCCAGGTTCTCGTCGGGAGGCCTGCCCTGCCACCGGATGTCGGGGACCAAACATGAACACTTGGGCAACCCGACTTTCACGCTCTATCAACCTCTTCGAATGTCTCCGGTGATGAGTTTTGTTCTCGATTTTGCTGTCCTCACCCCCACCTCCCTGTCATTTCATGTCCTGCAAAGCTGCCTCACAGGTGCGGCTTCCTGGGGACACTCCGAGTCGCGTGCCGCTCCATCGTCCCCAGGGCGTCGGGCACGTGACCCAGTCCTCCTCTCCACCCACTCTTGCCACTGTCCTTTGGGGACGCCGGCGTTCCTGCGGCTTCCTGTTCCTTCCTCCCCACACTCACTTCAGGCCTTTTTCCAAAAGTGGAGACAGACTCGCGGGCCCTGAAGTTTACCCACTTACAGCACAAGGTCGGTGGTTTTCAGTGTGTTCGTGGGGTCCCACCACCTTGCTCTACCTCATCGCCCCCAAAGAAACCCTCACCCGCCAGCAGCCGCACCCTGGCAACCAGCCTCGGTGCACCTGCCGGGCCACTGACTTCAGTTTCTGAACTCAGCTCGATCACGCCCACCCTCCTCCAGCTCAGCATTAATCACAGTTACAAGGCCTGTTCCAAGGCCTTGGCCATCAAACTCCTGTCAAGCTCCTAAAGAATTATGACTGGGCCCAGGACACATGCCGGTTCTATCACGTGCAGCGGCGTCACAGGCCCAGTCCTCCCCATGGACTTCCAAGCATGTCCCATGTCACTGCGCCCAGCCTCCACCTTGCAGCCCCCAGCCCCACGGCCCCACCTCTCCAGACAAAAGCTGCACCTCTATGCAATGGAGGCGCCAGGCCAGCCGATCTGTGCCTCACTCCTTCCTAGCTCAAAAATCAGGGTCTGCGTTCTCTTTACCCTATTGCTGTCTTTGGGGGACGTGAGTCCCTCCTTCCTGCAGAGCACCCCCCCTGCCCTGTTCTCTCAGGAATCCTCTCCTCCTACCAGCTCTTCCCCTCTGCCAACCTCTGAAAGATTACCCTCTCACCTCCCCTCAGCCAAACGCATTGAAGGAGCGTTTCCAAGTTCCCACACCTCGCGGTGTCCAGCCCCAGGGCCCTCCGGAAGCTGGACATCACCAGATACCTCCGCCTGCCAAATCCAATGGCTTTCCCAGTCTTTCAACCTTTCTTACACGCCTGCTATTAGTGGTCTCTTCTCTTTACATATCACTTCCTCAGCAAATTCCTATGGCTTGAACCTTCTGTCCCTCCTGGCGGGACCAAAGAGGACTATGTCTCAAACCTAACTGCCTGAGGGTCCCCTCCAATGAACACCCCCTCAGTGGCCTCAGCCCCCTTCCTTCCCCTCCACATCCCTTATTTCTGAAAAGCCTTGTGGCCACTTCCGGCTCCTATTGTCACTTACAATTCGGATTCATCTGGCCCGGACTCCGTGGGCAGATCCCTAACTGGCCCCCCTCTGGCTGACTTCGTTTGCTCTACCGCCTGGTGCTGATCATTTAAAAGCAACAGCAAACACTTTGCCTCTGCACACACCTGCCCACCTCTCATTTTCACTTCCCCATTCTTCGAAAGCTGTACTTTTCTACGTTTAAGTTTTTTCTAAGATACTCATGCGCTAGGTTTTTACATCAGAAACACAGACTGTAATGTGAAAGAATACGTGCACCCTATGTTCACTGCAGCGCTATTCACAACAGCCAAGCTGTGGAAGCAGCCCGAGTGCCCAGCAGCGGATAAGCGGACAAAACAGCTGTGTACGGGAATACAATGCAGTGTTCCTCATTCATAAAAAAGGGCGAAATGTTACCATTTGTGACAGCACGGACAGACCTAGAGAATGTTATGCTGAGTGGAGTAAGTTGGCCAGAGAAAGACAAATACCATATGATTTCATTTATATGTGTAATCTGAAGAATATAAACAAACAAAACAGAAACACGCTCATAAATACAGAGAACAGAAGTGGGGGGAGCTGGGGGACTGGGTGAAGAAGGGAAAGGAACTGAGGAGAAGTACAGGTGGGTGGTTACAGAACAGTCATGGGGAGGTGAAGCTCAGAGTAGGAGACACAGACAGTACTACTGTAGTGACTGCGTGTGGTGCCAGGTGGGTGCTGGAAATGTCAGGCACCACGTACACTAGTAAAGTGTGCGACCGTGTAAGCGCCATGCTGTATACCTGAAACTAATACAAAATAACAGTGAATGTCAACTGTAATGGAAAAACGTGTTTTAATAAATAAAAAAGGTTTTTAAAAAAAAGAGGAAAAAAAACCCACACGAATTGGGTTTCTTCCTCTGGCCTTAGTCAGATTTGTACGGAAAAAGACAGGGAGCATGGACTACCATTTTGGGGGGCCCCCTGATGGGCAGGAAGGAGGGGTGGGCAGTGGGGAGGGGCGGGTTTCTCCGGATAAAGACAACTTCCGCAGAGGGAAGAGCTCCGCCCACTGCCCACTCACACTAGGCACAGGGCGCAAAGCCCCTGAGCCTCCAGCCCAGCCCTCAGTTCCCACGGGGCATTCGGGCCCCATCCAGACGCTGCCTCCACCACAAAGCCCTTCCCAATCCCCCGTGGGTCTAGCTCCCACTTCTGAACGCCTGGAGCAAGAACACTCCTTGTGCCCCAGTCTTCTCTCTACGCTTCTCGCAGTGCCCGGCAGGACCCCTCGCGGCAGGGCTCCTCGGCAGGGCTGCCTGGGCCCGGCTCCGGCTGTCTCCAACACAAGTCTGACCGTCTCATCGGCCTTAAGCACCACGATCTCCAAGTGATCCTGCAGGCAGGTCTCGGAAGGATTAAAACAAGTTTGGGTCGTCTTCCTGGAGCACCGGACTGGATCACAACACTACCGTGCTGTCCTGGTGCAGGGAGGATGAGAAACCAAACGGAGCCCTCTGCTGGCCTTCCCAACTACAAGTTCACAGCGCTGCTGTTCACAGGTAGCTGAGTGTCTGTAACAAACTTTTCCTTTTGTTGGTTTCAATCACTTTCAGGCAAACATACCAAAAGTGTAGGTATGAGTCATTTAGCTGGCTCACTTCTGCTCATCCCCTCATTCACTCAGCAACTTCCGACGACCCTCCAAGGGGCTGGCCCTGTGCGGGCAGCGGGGGACAGGACACTGAGCAAGACAGGCCAGGCCCCTGACCCCACGTGGGAGGAGAGGCAGGAAAACAATGAGGACGGCCTCAGAGACGCCTTCTGAAGGAAAGAAGCATTCTTTGCTGTGGCAAAGAATGACGGGAGCACGTTAAATGCAGGACACTCAGGGAGGACCCCTGGTGACATTCCAGCAGGGACCTGAAAGACGGGCAGGAGCCACCCAGGCACAGGGCCAGGGAAGAGGCACCAGGTGAAGGTTGAGCAGGGAAGAGGCAGGCGCAGTGGGAGCCGTGGAGGGCTCTGGGGCAGACGTGGTGGAGGCGGGGCAGCCTGGAGACCAGGCTGCAGGGCTGGGCTACACAGGACAGGGAGCCCGGTGGTTTGCGGGGTTCTCAGCAAGACACTAACAGACCAGGCCCCCATCGATGACCTAACGTTTGACCTCCCTGAAGCTTTGTTCTCAGTACTGCTTTCATAAGCAGCAGCCTTTATGATAGGTAGAACCTTCTTTCTTTATGAAAAATGGCCCGGGCGAGGGTTCTTGTGAGAGAATTACAGAGACAGCGAAGAGGCCTGAGGCAGCGGTGGTTCTCAGCCAGAGTTCTGTGGGGAAATTAAACAGTACGGGAGGCATTTGCAAATTCAGGGATGCCTGAAGGTCTTGGGGTGTTAAAGTCAAGGTGTTATTGCAGATCAGGGGTGCTCTGTCTAAGCACCGCTGCCATTTGGGGCCAGGCCATTCTGTCATGGGGACCTGCCCTGTGGGTTGTAGAGTGGTCAGCAGCATCCCCGGCCTCTGCCCACTATCTACCAGCACCCATGGAGTGACCATTGGAAATGTCTGCAGACATTGCCAAATGTCCCCTGGGGAGCAAGACTGCCACCAACTGAGAACCACTGCTGATAAAGAAGCAATGAGATAAACATGCTCCCAACAAAAACTTCAAAGAAGTCTCGATGAGAAGGACCCTTTACAAAGCCCTGGCTGGTGTAGCTCAGTGGATTGAGCTGGGGTTGCGAACCAAAGGGTCTAGTGTTTGATTCCCAGTCAGGGCACATGCCTGGGTTGTGGGCCAGGTCCCCAGTAGGGGGCGCAAGAGGCAACCACACATTGATGTTTCTCTTCCTCTCTTTCCCCTCCCTTCCCTTCTCTAAAACTAAATAAAATCTTAAAAACAAACAAACAAACAAACACACAAACAAACAAACAAAAAACTTTAGAGAGAAGTCCATTTAGGATAAAGTGCTGGCAGTTAGGAGCAGAAATGGGTTAGAGCGTTGCTATTTTTCAGTCCCGAAGCAAGCGCTCTGGGCCTAGTGCGGCTCAGGGACCCTGCAGGGTAACAGAAGACTTGTTCACCTTCCTGGCAGGAGTTAAACCCTCTTTGCCTTCTGTGACAGTGACCAGGAAGGACTGATCACCAGGAGCAGACTCTGAGGCAGGCGGCGAATCTGAGCTGAGCCACAGGTCAGGTTGAAGGCAGGGGTGGAAGAAGAGGGAGCCATTCTCTTCTGCTGGTTATGAGAGAGTTCTGTGAGGACAGCCTCCTGGGAAGTATGGCCAAGAGCTGAGGAGTCTGGGTAAAGACCTGAGCATGCTGTGGCTGCTGCAGGCTAAGCTGAGTTTCCTCCCATTCTTGACCCTTCCTCTGTGGCTGAGCTGGAGAAGGCACACTGCCTGTTCCTTGGGGCAGCTAACTTGCTCCCCTACACTCCGGCGAGTTCAGTGCCACGTTCCAGCTGCCTCGTCTCCCGCCTGGTGGCCGCACCCACAGACGTGCAAGGGGCAGGGTCACGGGTGTCAACAGCTTCCCCAGTGACAGTTGTCAAAGGAAACAGAGGGCCACAGAGATGCAGAAGCAGCAAGTAGAAACCAAGGCTGTGACTAGTGCTCTTTCCTTTGAAAGCAACGTAGCGCTGTTGGGCAAGACTGCCGGCAGGAGGCGGCCTCAGCAGCTGGCGTATGTGCAGGCGGTGGTCCACTTCGCCCTCTCTTTTGATCGCACAACGCTTCCATCCTGTGCTGCTCCCCGTCCCCACAAATGGGGAAGCCCGCACGTCTGCTTTGACATCACTTACGGCAGGGACGTATGAGCCTGAATCGTGCCCCGGTGGTCCAGCACTATTCTTGAGAGGGCCCTCTGCCCACTACAAATATTTTATGCAGCATGAGGCAAACTAAAATAAACATTCCTGACATGCATGAAGGGAAAAAGCACTCCTAACAGGGCACACAGAGGTAGGGAGGGGCTCTGTGACGGCGATGGCCGGTTGCGGCACATCCGTGAACTCTGTGAGTGCCTAGCACCTCGTCTCCCAGGGCAGCCAGAGCAGGTTCTGCCCACACTGTGCTGCGCGGGGCAATTCAAAGCAGCATCCACAGTGAAGCTAGTTCCAGAACCTTCTGTAAGGTTCATTATCCCCTGAGCTCAGACCTTGGCCTCACAGGGGATTAAGAACTAGTCTCCCAGGATGGTGGAGTTAAGGAAACCTCAGGAAAAGGGCACATTCTTGCCTCAAACCCTGACTACCAAGGAACTCCGGGAATGTCGCCTCACCCTGGGAACCACCCAGCGTTCCTACACCCAGCTGTTTACGGCACATGCCCAGAGCAGGTCCTCAAAAAACTCAAACACATAGGAAATGAGCGAAAAATTTTAAAAAAGGAGAATACACTGAGGCTCTTGGGGTTCACTGCCTGACTGCCTAAGGGCACATGCGGCCATGTGACATGATGACAGGCTGAACAACTGCAGACGCAAGAAACATAGGCACGTCACAGTTTTTCCTTCCCCAAACTCAGCCACGGACATGACTCAGCTCCAAACTTGCCAACGCTGGGGGAAGCAGCAGGACACCTGGTGACTTTCAGGGACAGTTCACTGCTGACGCCGGGAGGAGCTGTGTGCAGTTACACAATTCCTACCATGAGAGGGACACGATTCAATTCATGCCAAGTTCCAGAAAGACCTCCCCAGAGGCACTGCTGAGGTGAAGCAGGCGCCAGCTGTTCTCAGAGCTGCCTCTGTCTCCATCACACCACGGCTCTGGAGCCTGCCAAGCTCGCAGGAACAGAGCAGGGATCCCCAGGCTAGGAAGGCAAGTTCAAGCAGGGCAGCGGTTTAAGGCTGGGTAAGTTCTAGAAAGAGAACTCTAGCTAGTTAAGACAGTGCTGCTTTCCCTGGGATACCTGGGAGCCACGGGAGTCATTTGATCATTCCGATCTTCCAACTACTTATCCAACTGAGTGTGTGTGTGTGGGGGTGGGTGGGTAATGTAGACCCAAGACAGGCAGCAATCAATGTGCTAGTTCTAACTACTGACTCCGCTAAACAGCAACTGAAAGTGTTTGTACGCTTTCTGTGCCTCTTATGCCACCCAAGACTATAAAGTTGTGCAACTAAAAATTCAGCTAAAGACCAAGTGGTTTCAAACTGCAGAGATGAGCAAAACCCGGAGTCAACAGCTGTCAATTAGGCCCTCCATTTGGAGGGCCGGCTACGCCGTGTACAGGTGGAATGAGCCACAAGATAAACATCACAGAGTTGGCAAGTCAGTTTGGTTTTCTTGACCATCTCAACATCTAAAGAGTAAACAAACCCCAGTCTCATATGTTCTGAGCCAGGACAGCCCCGACATGGCTGCTGCTGAACGGAGGTCCCCCGCCCTGGCTCTCCCCAGGGTCTAGGCAAGCGGCGCTAGCGCAGCCCATGGGGAGCAGAGTGCTCCTCCAGAACCCAGGAGCACTGACGCGGGCCAAACAGGTTCTAAAAGCAAAACTCACATAGGGAGAGTAGAGGTCCCCAGTCTCTGTGATTTCACCTGCCATTTCCAAAAGTGAGGAAGGGACCGTCGACGGAGCTTTCTTCTTCCTTGCACGGAAGCGGCTACGGCAGCCCCCTAAGGCAGAGAAGCAGACTTTCAGCTTTATGATGGACCTAGATGAGGGTGGCAGGAGGTCTGCAGATCCTCTCCCCCTGACCTTTCATCACAGAGAGTTAAGGTCTCTGCATAAGTCTCAAGGCAGCCAGCCCGGAGGGAAGGGTCTTCCTGGATGACTCACCCCTGGCTGCGTTTTTCCCCCTGCTGTGCAGAGCATGAATGCATTCAGTGCCGCTCAGACCCCAAGTGATACAAGAGCCCTTAGAGGCCACTAGCCCTCACTCACCACAAGCGCCCCCTTTGCATACTCTGCGGTGGCCATCCCCATTTAATGCAACAGCGAGCTCACTACTGCCCAGGGCAGCCCAAGTAACAGTCTGCCTCCTCTGCACAGGACAAGGGGCTAGGGGCTTTCCTAGGTCGCTCTTCAACCCAACTTCTTGCCCCAAAGACTCTTCTTTTTAACGGGGCCTTCACTTCGCGCCCCGCAACCGGCTTTCTGCCCTTAGCCTCCTCCTCTTTTCTAGAGCTCCGACCCGAGCCTCTCTCCGGCCTCTTCATTCCTCCCGGAGAAGCCCGGAATCTGGCGTTGCCCCAGCCCATCCCACCCTCGCGCTGTTCCTCACCTGCAGCGTAGCGCGCTACGGGCCGCCTTGGCCACCACCGTGGCCACCGCCTCCAGCCGCTTCGGGTGCAGCCGGCGCCAGCAGTCCCGCACCGGCGCCCACAGTACGCATGCGCCGACGCCGGGCTTCCACTTGTCTGCGCGCGGCTCTGCTGGGACGCTGCGCGCTGATTGGGGACCTCGTGGAGGCGGGACCGGGATTGGGCCCTGGAGGCTGCCGTCTGCGTGGCGGAAGTAGGTGGTATTACGCCAGGCGCAAGTGGGAGGGGCGGCTGTCGGCCGGGGTGGTTGGTAGAGTTGGCTCACACGTTTTGCTAGGAGCGCTGTCGTTGGAGTACGTGTGTGAACTTGGCTGTCCCAAACCTCGGTGGCTGGGGTGCGGGTTGAGGGTAGAGAAGGGAGCTAAAGCTCCGCACGAAGGGGAGTGGGCTGAGAACTCAAGTCTGTTTACCCATAAGAGGCCTGGTAGACCGGACTTGGGAGGTGGGGAAGACCTAGGGCCAGGGCCCAGTAGGCTGATTGGAAATAGATTAGAAGGCGGGGCTTGAAATGGATCCTGGGGCGGAGCCTCAGGACTGGGCAGGTGGTGGGCGCTTTGCGGGTAAGGCTTGGTGCTCGGGTTTGAGACATCAAAGTTCTGGGAGGCGGGGCATAAGGGACGATCAGAAATGGCAGCTCAAGCTTGGTTTCTGAAGATGCGAGGGAAGGGCTGTTTAACTGTCCTTAGCCAGCCTGGCTCCCTTAGTCTCAAGGGGTGTAGACACCCTGTTCTCTGAAGTGTTTCGAAGGAAATGCTCTTCTCATAACTCAGCCCCAGGAGGCAGTTAGCGAGTTGAGAGCCTGGGCCCCCACCCTATGTGGGAGAAACTCGGGGTCCCGCAGTCTTTGCCCTCCCCACCCTCAGGCTGCCACCATGAGGTTAAATCAGAACATCTTGCTGTTGGGGAAGAAGGTGGTGCTGGTACCCTACACCGCAGAGCATGTGCCTAGGTAACTGTTCCACCTGATGTGGGGGGGCAAGCCAGCTCTCCAAGGTGCACCGAGGAGTGTCAGGTCTCCTTAGCCCAAATTTCAGAGGCTCTTTTTCTCTAAGGAGCATTGGTGCGAGGTGTGGTTACAAACAGGGAAAAGCAAATAGTGAAACAAAAGACTTCCTCTTCCCTGGAGGAAGTCACCCACCCCCGTTTTTCCCTTTCACCCTCTCAGCTTCCTTTTTGGCCTTTCAGCGGGGAAAGTGTCTTCTCACCTGATTGTGAATTAGTGACATTCCTTTGGTGCCAGCGAATATACTCATTTCTTGGAGACCTAATGTTAGCTTGTCAGCACTGAACTGACGGATTGGGCTGCCATCTCCTGTTTTGAAAGGCCAGGCCTGAGTGGCCAGGTGGGACTCTGGCAGTCCCAGTGTGGGGGCAGTTGGCAAAGTCTGGTAGACTGGGATGGTGGTGTTGTAGGGGTGTGTTTTCTACTTGTTTTGGGGGGTTCCTCCAGCCTTTGTGGAGATCAGTCCATCGTTCTTTGCTGAGCTTGGCTTGCCCTATACTTCCCTTCAGGGGTTTGAGGAATGTTCAGCTTCAGACTGCGCCTCCACACTGACCCAAGAGACAGGACGGAAAGCTGGGCAGATAGCACTGACCACTCCTGCTTTTCTCTTGGACCAGCCTGCCTCTAGGTCTTGTGCCTATGCCCCTTTGCCTTAGGAGCAATTACAACCCTCTCACTGGGTCTCCTATGAGCCCTATGTTAGCCTTAGGGGGCTCGCCTTTCTGCCATCCTTTTTTCATCTCATAGTGTCACATCCATGCTTCTGAATCAGCCCTGCCTGCTGAAGGCCACCCTCTGTCCCTGCAGGTACCACGAGTGGATGAAATCAGAGGAGCTGCAGCGTTTGACAGCCTCCGAGCCTCTGACCCTGGAACAAGAATATGCCATGCAGCGCAGCTGGCGGGAAGATGCAGACAGTGAGAAGTGGGCCCTGGGCTGGGCCGGTTGTGGGAGGGCTGACTCCAGAGGTGGTCTCCGGGGCTCCTCCCATTTTCACTGCCAGCTGTAGCCCTTCTGGGGGCATGGAAACCTTGTGCAAAGCACTTCATGAAGCCTGGAAGGTGCCTGAAATCCTTGTACTTTCATGCCCACTGAAGCTGCTCCCTCTGGCTGACGCTTCTGCCCTCTTCCTCATTCACTGTGTCAGGCTTGGAAGGATTTAAAGGAAGTATTTCGGGCTCAGGCTGTAATTGAGGCCCCATTCCTCAGATCCTTTGCTGCAGGCCCAGTGGGGTTACTGCTCGTCTTTGGGTGCCCCGCTGTCTGAGAATACACTTGCCATTGGAGAAGGCCGTCATTTCCTTTGGGAGGTGGGTTGAGGTCCACCTGCTGAAGGGAGCTCTGGCCCCCCTTTTCTCCTGCCAGATTTGGAGACGATGGAAGTTCTCTGGCTTGGGTAGGAAGACTGTCTTCACTTCACTTCTTTGGGGAGTGTAGATGATAACCCTGTCGCCTCCCTCCTCAGAGTGTACCTTCATTGTGCTGGATGCAGAGAGGTGGCAGGCCCAGCCAGATACCACTGAAGAGAGCTGCATGGCGGGAGATGTGAACCTCTTCCTCACAGACCTAGGGGACCCCTCCTTGGGGGAGGTTGAGGTCATGATTGCAGGTTCGTTCCCCCTGGCCCCAGGATCCCTCTCTCCTGGCCCTAGGAGCTGCCGAACCTTCAGCTGTTCGAGGTTGCATAGGGCCCTCGGAGAGCTCAGTGGGGCTCTGGCTTTGGCGAGCCCAGCACCCGACAGGGGCTGACTGCCCACTGACTTTACTCCTGTCCTATGCTGAGGTGTGAAGTCAGTCTTTGGGTTTAGTCTCTTGAAACTCCACTCTGCCCCATTTTGGGGGTGGGGACCCTCAGCCCCCTCCAAATGGCCGGTCTTCCCTGGAGCATCTCCCCATGCTGTGGGAGGAGCCCGTCCAGTTTCTGCGTCCTTCTGGCCCTCAGCCTTCTCCTAAGAGGCCATGCGACTCCTCGTAAGGCAGCATGCTGAGGTTAAGGGGTCAGCCGTGGGGTCAGGTTGCTGGCTGTTGCCAAGCTGTGAGACCCGGGGCGAGTCATTGACCTCCCTCTGCGCCAGTCTCATCTGCAGAATGGTACTAGTGTTTATGAACTTCACAGAGTTGTGAGGACTGAAGGAGGCAGTGTCTGTTAAGGGTCCCGCCCGTGGAGCCCAGCACACAGCGTCAGGGGGTTGTTCTCTCCTAGAGCCCAGCTGCAGGGGAAGGGGCTTCGGCACCGAGGCTGTGCTCATGATGATGTCCTATGGTAAGGAAGTCAGAGCAGACGCCGCCGTGGGGAGTGGCCAGGCCTCGCGTGTGGGCCTAGGGTGCATTGGGAATGAGCCTTCTTCAGGTCTGAAGGCAGCGAGGGTGGGGGGGGGGGGGGGAGGGAAGTACAGGCGGCTCCACTGTGAACTGAGACAGGAGGGGCGGCGGGTGCTGGAGGGACCTTCATTCCACAGCTTCTCTCTCTCTCTCTCTCTCTGATCTCCTCTGGGAGGAGTGACCAAGCTCGGTCTAACCAAGTTTGAGGCAAAAATCGGGCAAGAAAATGAGCCAAGCCTCCGGATGTTCCAAAAACTTCACTTTGAGCAGGTCAGGATGAGGTGGGCAGGAGGGCGGCGCTGCCGGGGGGCTGCAGGTACTGGAGCCTGGGGCTGTGACTTACTCAGCCAGCCTTGACCTCTGGTTTCTGTAGGTGGCAGTGAGCAGCGTCTTCCAGGAGGTGACACTCAGACTGATGATGAGTGAGCCGGAGCGGCAGTGGCTGCTGGAACAGACCAGCCACGTGGAAGAGAAGCCCTATGGAGCGCGGTCCTAGCAGCCCCGGGGACAGAGCCCTGCAGCAGGGGGTGAGCGCACCAGGCCTTGGGGGCAGAGGGCTCCCAGCGCCTCTCCAGGCTGGGAGTCAGCTTCGGGGCCCTGCAGACTGGGCCGGACTTGTCTTGGCCTCCCTCAGGCCGGCAGTGTGACTGAGCGACTGCAGGGGTCCCCTCCTCCTGGCCAGGCTTGGACTCAGATTCTCGGAGACTGGAGTAGATGGCACGAGCCCATGGGAGGAGCAGGGCGGAGGTAGAGCCGGAGAAAAGCGGAGCCTGGTGAACTGGGCCCCCCCCGAAAGGCCAAGGGTGCCACTCAGGAGGCCAAGAATAAAGCACACTGAACGGACAGCTTCCTGTTTCCTCACTGGGCCTGGTCGGAGGTGAGCTGCCAGGAGGCCCACCTGCAACGTTGGTGCAGACCACTGTGGGAGCCACAGGGCAGGCTGGGTGTGACCCTGGGCGGTTTGGTAATGCACGAGGTTGGCCCTGTTGGGACAGGCAGGTGGCTTGGGAAGTGAGTGAGGATCCTTGCTCCTTCTCTCTCTTCTCTGGGCCAGTTTTGAGTAAGTTAGTTTTGGATACAGCTCCTTGTGGCAGGAGAGTGCCCTCCCGCTCTCCACTCCTCACTCCTCCACTCCTGGGAGCAGCTGCACCTGTCAAAGGCCACAAGGGGGCACCCGAGGCACAGGTTCTGGATGGTGTGGCCACCGGGCAACCTGTGCTCAACGGGCGGAGCTGGGGCAGGTCTGCCACCTCAGAGAGCTAGGGACACCCAGTGATGTCTGTCTGTCTTCATGCCTTGTCATAATGTGGGGTGGCTGTCCAGAAAGGCCAGTCATGTTTCAAAACATGGTTGTGGACGAGGCTGGTGAAGGCAGCAAGGGCGTTTTCAACAAGAACCAGTCCCAGGCGCGTTAAGGCGGCTTGCCTGAGGCCTCAGAGCTCCCCGTGGCAGACCCCAGCTTTACGGTTGAGGGTCCCAGCTCGCAGCCCCCTCCACCCTGGCCTCTGACAGCAGACCATGCTCCGGAAAGACTAGAATCTAACACGTGCCTGAATCCTAGGCCGAAACGGCGCTGGCTGGAGCCTCTTCACACCCGGCCCAGCCCACACCAGCAGTTCCCCCAGGTCAGGCTTCTAGGGCTTCCCTGCCCAGCAGGTGACCTAGTGGGACACCCTCAGGCCTGCTCACCTGCAGGCATCTCCATCAGGGGTCAAAGCCTAGAGACAAGGTTGGGGTTGGGCCAAGTGCAACTGGTGCTATAAGGGTTTGGGACCCAAACCCAGAAGAGGGAACCCGAGAAGGCCAGACAGATTCTTCACAGGTTCCCTCCCCAGTTCAGGGTCTCCCTTGTTCTCCTCTGTTCTGGGAACCCGCCAGCTTCTGAGTCTCCCTGGCTGGGTGCAGAGTAGCCTGAGGCTAATGCCCCCTCCTTCTGAGCACCTGCCCGGCAGCCTCAGCTCCCTCGGGCCGTCCTCCTGGCAGCCCTCCAGGAAGCTGCTGCAAGTGCCAGAGGTATGAAGGGCCTCTCAGGGAGGAACAGGGCCCTTCACCCTTGGTGAGTCCCCTGCACCCCTCCTGCCACATGGCACGTCCTGGGGCCCAAATGGCGGGGTTTGTTTTCCCTTAGGCCTGGACAACTGGCCTCCAATCAGGTCCATGGCCAGATAAGATAGAGTGGCCGGCGCCAGCTCCAGCCACCGCTGGGAATCCTGCACCCCACTGACAGAGGGCGAGATTAAAGTCTTCATACTCAATCAGGCTCCACACTTCCAGAGCCCCTGAAATTGGAGGCAGGCACAGAGCCCGCTCAGCCTGTGGGTCTGGGCTCCTAAGTCCCTGGATTGACATCTGGCAAAGGCCCCAGCCTGCCTGTGCATTAGACCACCCCACCGGGGGAAGCACGGGGAAGCTGGGTGGGTGGGGTACCAGGACAGCTGGAAACCAGCCCAACGCCCCCCGGCTGAAGCCACCCACTTCCGGCCCCCCATTCTGGACCATTCTCTCCCTCCAGCTGTACCCTACCCTCAGCCAGAGGCTACCAGGGACACAGGTTTGCCCCCTCTTCCCAGGCCAGGACAGTTCTCAAGGAAGACACAGAGGCTGAGGCAGTTTGGAGAAACCAGTTAGATTTCTGATGGAGTTTTCTTACAATGGTGGTGTCTGGCTCAGGGCTGGGCAGGGGGTGCCCAAACCACCCCCCACCTGCCAGAGTTTCTGCACTGAGAGTAGAAACAAGTTGAAGGCCAAGGCTGCTGCCAGGCTCGGGCGCAACAGCCTGGAAAATCACGTTAATTGGGAGATAAAAAACCCTCTACTCTGCGATACTGAACTCTTAAAATCAAACGAATGAAAAGAAAATGCCCAACCCACAGCCCTCGGGATGATGCGGCTGCTGCAATCCCGTCCCAGACCAACCCTAGACCTGGTCATCACTTGGGTCACAACCTCTCGCCTGGTCCCTTGATCCTCGCTTGGTGCAGGTCCCAGTGACATCCCAGGTGTGGTGGCAAGGGGACACTTAGTGGGCTGAAGCACTCAGTGAGGAAAAGGAGGGGACAGAGTCTGCTTTTTGATTGGGGTTAGGACAGGAAAACATTCACTTTCTCGGAGGTGAGGGGATAACATGGCTCTCTAGAAGAATCAGGTTTGCCAGGAGGGGGCATGCTGGTGCTGATCGGTTTGCCATTTGGGGGTGAGTGGGTGGGGTCGGGGTGTGGGCCCAGCCTTCCCGCTTCCCGGGGCTGGGGGAGGTGCTCAGAGGTTGCTGAAGAGTTCGTTTTTCTTGCTCCAGTCCATCTTCGGGGCCCGCTTGTTGCTGCGCTTCCGGTGGGCCCTCTCCTTGGCCATGGCCAGGGAGATGTTGAAGTCCAGGATGGGGTCGGAGGAGGAAGAGGAGGTAGATGAGGGTGCCGTGGAGTCCTGTTTCTTGGGGCTGTCTTGGGAGTTCAGCTGCAGAAGAGAGAAGGCAGAGAGCGGGAGTCAGTGCCCCGTGCGAAGCCCTGGGCCTCCAGCTTGGTGCGGTGGCTCCCTTGGGGCCGTGCCCAGGGGAGCCAGGTCACAAGAATGGAACGTGGCTCAGCATGTGACCTCCAGGGCAGACTGGCGCGCCAGGCACGAGTGGGGCAGGGGAATGGGGTACAGCAACCCAGGGCCACTCCTCATCCATCGGGCCAGCCTACCTCCTCGCTGGTGTCACTGGAGGCGGATCTTGCTAGGACTGGCCTGGGGTTCTCAGAGGCCGCCTTGCTCAGGGTTTCACGACTGTCCTCCTGGCAGAGAGAGGACAGCTGTGGGTTGGTGGGGGTGGGCTGGGGAAGGCCTGGGCGGGACGGGGAGATTCCAGGGAAGACAGGTGCCTCATCTGAGAACTCCACTTGAACCCTTGCCACCTACCCCTCAGCTGAAGGCCTGACTGAGCCCTTGGGGGCCCTATATCTTCACGTTCCTCCGAGGACGGCAGGGCAGCCTGCTTCCAGCTGGGAGGGACCATTGAGGGATTAGCCCTCAGGACTGACTCGCCTTTTGGGCCAGTGACCGAGGAGGGGCCTCCTGGGGCGTGGAGACACTGGAGACCTCCACTTGACACGGGAAACCCTGTGGTGTTCCCTGAATCTCCTGTGGCCCACCTGAGTATCACTTGGACTTGACCCCAGGAATCCCGAAACTGTGACCCTAAAGCAGCCAAGAAGGGCTTCAAAGGAATAAGGTGAATGAGGTTGTACACCCACAGCTGGAGCCAGAAGGTTCAGGTGCCCCAGGTCCCCCCCACCACTCCCAGCTGCGTCTCCCAGCAAGAGGCCCTGGTGCAGGACAGACGTTAAGCGGACCCTGCGGAGAGCTTCCCTCTGTGGTCGGTGGGTCTGTCCCTGAGCAAGGCCTTGGTTGTGGCTTCAGCTTGGCGTTCAGAACCCCGCCCGGGCTTCTCTGTGGCCTCGGCTGGCAGCGGGCCGCCATCCCTTCCCCAGCCTCCACCCCCTTCCCTTCCCTTCTGCCTGGAAGGGAGGAGGGGCCGAGGGGCTTTGTTCTTCTAACCCAGACTGGAAGTAGCCTGGCAGCATGCGGCCAGACACTGAAGCTCTGTTCTTGGGGGGAAGAATGGCCTCTTCTGTGTGGTGGGGCGTTGGAGGCGGGGCCTGTCACCCAGGATGGTGGGCGGCAGAGGGGCGTGCTGGGCCTCTCGCTCCGGACAGCCTTGGTCCTAGGCGGGCCAAGGGCACACCCCGGCAGGTACGGAGTGCGGAGCTCAGGAGGGAGCAGTTTGGAAACTGGAGTTTCAGCCCGAGACAGGCTGTCCTCCCAGCCACGCCACCTTCTCCCCTTGTCCCGCAGCCCCTGGGCTGGGAGCCGGAGAAGAGTTCGGGGTCTGCCTTTACCTTCTGGATCTCCCCGTTGGTAAAGGGCTCGGGCAAGGGACCTAGTGAAGGAAAAAAGCAGAGGTGAGTCGAGAGGCTCGGGGAGTGTGGGCGGGGAGGAGGTGCGGGGTGCGGGGCAGGCCCAGGGCCAGGTCTTCCTCCTGGGTCCCTGGTTACCAGTCTTGACTGCAACTCACTCTAAGCACAGCGGCCACTGATGACCCGGCGCCCACAAAACAGCGTGTGATGTAGGGAAGCTCTCACACAACAATCTGCCTTCACCACACCCCCAAACCTCACCCTCACTCATTGCAATGCTCTTTGGTATATTCTGCCCAATGTCATTAAAAAAACAAAACAAAACAACAAAATAGGCTGGTCTCTGCCTACTGAGTTAACCTCATGAACCACTAACGTGTCCTCAGCTGCCTGAGAAAAGCATTGTCCCAGACGGGGTTGAAATTCCCGGCCGGCTGCCTGGAACCCGCCTCCTACTGGCCAGAGTGGCGATGAGCAGACAGGAGGGGCAGGGAGAGAACACTGGCCTGGGGTGGCCCCCCCAGGCTCACTCGGGGCATAGGCCCCACGTGGCTACAAGGGGGGCTGGTCAGCCTGGGCGGGTTTCTTCTGAGCTCTTAGCTAAACGTCTGTGTCCACCTGTCCCTGTGCCCTGGACTGCGGCCCGGCAGGCGGGCGTGCCTGACTCTCCCCTCTCCTCCCTTCCAGTGCCTTTGGCCTCCCCGCAGTGGCCAGGCAGGGGACTCTGAGGACACAGGGACGCTCACTCTCCCACGGCCCCCACGCCAGCCCTTCCCCACCATCTCCGGGCTGCCTCACAGTGGTCAGTGTGAAGCCCCGGGGGCCGCGAGGGCGGGGGGCACCCCTCTCTGTGGGGTGCCCCCAGTCCCATCTGTTGGGAGGAATGGGCAGAAGACTCCACCCTAGAGAAACCAGGAGGGACACTGGGGAGACCTGTCCCTGAGCGGGTTCTC